GCCGAGGCGGTGCTGGAACGGGGCCCGAACACCGACGCTGGTGAGTGCGCGGCGGCCCCGGCCCCGCCTCGCAGCCTCCGCGAGGTCGTTGCGGCCCGTGCGTCTCGCTCGAGGGACGCGGGAGGAGCCGGCTCTTCGTGGCACCTGAGCCTGGAGCGCGCGTCCGCAGGCCCGGAGGGAAAGGGGTTTCGTGCCTGTCCCGGAGCGCTCGGGGGCCTAAGGAGATGGGCCAGCCCTTCCCCCGCCACAGAGAGGCCACCAGGGCCACGGGACCGGTGGGTGACTGCGAAAACCCATCGGGAACCTACCCTATACCAAGCGTGAGCTGTGCACTAGGACAACTGCCTAGTCTGAGAGGGAGGGCTGTCCACCTCCGTTACCTGCCCACACCTGGGGACACCTGAGTCCTCAGCCACATGTCTGTGGCTGCTCAGGCAAAGGCGTTTTTCTTAAGAAGAGAGGGTCCCCGAGACTGGCCGAGTGGCCCAAGGCTCCTTCTCAGTCTGGCAGCTCAGTTGAGAGCATTGGACCCACTGCACCCCACCGGGGCCAGGGCAGGCGGGAGCTGCTGGAGATGACCCAGGAGGTTCTGACCCTGATACCAGGAGGAGCAGAGGGGTGGGGGGTCTCCTGCACCACCCATGGGGCTGTGCCACCGTGGAGGCCATGGAGAGACACAGACGATGGTCTCTGGGGACAACCGGCAGGCTCCTCTTCTGGCTTCCGGTTCAGTTGGCAGGGACAGGAGACTGCTGAATGGCCCCCTGTCTACATCCCCAGTGCCTGCCTTGGGAACAGGATCTGCATTATGGTGGAGGTGGGGACCAGGCTCCCAGAGGAGCCCAAGTCCCTCCCAGGCCCCTCAGCCCATTCAGCCTGTGCACGTGCCCCACCAGGTGCAGGCCTGTCCATCAGTGGCAGCTGCCAGTCCCTTTTTATGCTGCCCACTGCTCTGCCAGCCTCGCTGGACCTCTCCCCGTGCCTCAGCCATATTCTCCAGTCTTATAACTGGCACTTGGAGCCACAGTGGCCCCCATCCTCCTGGTGAACTGATCCAGCAGCCCCCTGCTTGGCTGCAGGCTCCCCCCGGCTTCACTGCCCAGCCTCCCTGTCCCTATGGTAGGGGACGCTTCTGGGTGTAGCTGGCCCCAAATGCAGAGTTAATGTCATCCATGTGGCCGTGGTTTGAAATCAGCCATGGGATTGTGTACGATGGACAGGCTCAGGGTTTGGAGGCCTTAGTCCTGAGGTCCAGCCCTGCTTGACTCTGATGCCCTGTGGGGTGCTGTGTCACTTCTGTGCCCCTCTGAAGGCCACGTGGCCAATGCTCACTACGGGCAGCGTTCACACTGGGCACTCCACAGGCCTCGGGTTAGGACTCTAGCTATATCCTTTTACAGGAAAACCAAGGCCCCGGTGAGGGGTGTGGCATGCTTGACTGACAGCTGGCTTTTGGGGTGCCAAACCTGGAGCTCCAAGACCACTCCAACTCCCCAGTAAAGCCCTCCCACCACACACAGCCTCCCAAGCCCCCAACCCAGAGGTTCAAGGCTGGGGCTGGGTGTGAACCCCACGCTGGCTCAGCTCTGTGGTGCAGGCTACCTCAGGGCCCAGGAGGGGCAGGGCTACTTCTACCTACCGGTCATCATCTGGGGACCTGGGTGCCACCTTATGGATTTGATTGTGCATACTACGCCCAGGTGTCCCTGGAGGTTCCTCCCCAGCCTCCCTCTGTCTGCATGTTCTCTGTCCCCATCCCCCAGGGGCATGGCTGTGTGCCCTCCCACCACCTTGCCCTGGGGCTGCAGCCACTTGCACAGCAGGCTGGAACATGGACTCAGGCCCTGCTGCGCACACCTGGGCCCAGTTCTTGCATCACCCACCCTCTGTGGCCTGGGTGCTGGGGACATGGCCTCTAAGGATGAACCTGCTGCTGGGGACAAGCTGGAGGCACGAGGGAGGGTACCCTCCTCCACGCCCACACCCCGCTTCTCCTGCAGATGGGTTTTTGGGCTTATTCCCATCAAGGAAGCTGGGCTAGGGCAGCACCTGTGCCATGCTGGTACAGCCCTGGGGGAGGCCTTCAGGGCACTCACACAGAAGCCCTGCAAACATCAGGGCAAGTCGGTGAGTGCTGAGGACATTGTAACTTGGCGACTAAATGCACTGCTGTGCACATACGCATGGCACTACTTCACACTGCAGTCAGCCTTACTGGGAAAAGCTAGGTCTCCATCACCCACATCCCCATCTTGCCTGCACGAACTCTTTCCCCTTACAGGGCCCTGAGCAGATGAGATAGGAACAGAGGACCAGAGGCCCCTACCCGCTCATCCCCCAGCCAGCAGCCTTTGACACCCGTGTTGTACCCACAGTGTTCTAGGCACTGGGGGTGCAGAAAAGAGCAGGACGAAGCCCCTGCCCCTGGGCAGCTCACAGCCTGGGGCATGGGGCGGGTGGGGGGAGGTGTGAGCAAACATGCAGGGTTGGCCCATGTGGCCTTCCTCAGGTGGGTGTGAGGGGAGTGAGCCAGACCCCAGCCAGCCACAAAGGTGACGAGTGGACCAGCCAGGCTGGAGCCTAAGACCTTGGAGGCTGGATTAAGCTGGGGAGGCACCTGGCAGAGGCTCCCAGGGCATGCAGGCCTGGACTACAGGTTTGCACTGTCAGGGTTGGTTGGGGGGGTCCAGGATGGACCAGAAGCTGGGCTGGGGCCCCGAACTGTCTAGGCAGACCTGGAGGTGAGCCTGGCTGGTGCCTCCCTGCTACAGGTGCAATGGCCTGCAGGGCCCCAGAGGTAGGTGCGGGGGATGCCCGGCGGGCCTCCCGAGCCCGAGGGGAACGTCGGAGACACACCATCACCAACGGCGTGGACTGTGGCCTGGTGAGTGGGGTCTGGGGGCTCTGAGGGATTCTCCATCTCATCTTGGAGGCTGGAGGCTGGGATGGGGCAGCCGGCCTGGGTTCTAGGGGAGCCTGTGGTGGGAGCATCAGTCAGTTCTAAACATCTCTCTCCCCACCTGAGCTTGAATCCACTGGAGGGATGGTCCAAGGTCTGGCAGAGGGAGGTCAAAAGGTCCTTCAAGGATGTGGAGTGGCAGTGGGAGTGGGCCCTGCCCGGCCTGCTCCCCGAGGCTCACCAGTGGTGTGCTCTCCACAGGCAGACCCCCCAAAAGGGTGCTGAGCTCAAAGGTTGGTCAGTCCTCCATAGAGGGGCCAAGAGCAGCCAGCCCCACCACAGGAGGAGGAATGGGCCGGTCTCCCCAGTGCACAGGCATGCGGGGATCACACCCTGCAGGTGTGTCTTCACAAGTGTGCCACTGTGCATCCACGTGGGCTTGCGAAGCCGCATGGGCGCCAATGTGCTTGTGCCCATGTGTGCTGGTCTGCACGCATCTCAACTTGCACAGCTGTGGCTCCTGGTGCTCACATGCAGGCATGCGTGGATGCGTGCATGCTTACTGGTACCTGTGTGTTCCCATGTGCACATGTGTTGCAGCTGAAGCAGATGAAGGAGCTGGAGCAGGAGAAGGAGGTGCTGCTGCAGGGTCTCGACATGATGGCCCGGGGCCGTGACTGGTACCAGCAGCAGCTGCAGCGCGTGCAGGAGCGCCAGCGCCGTCTGAGCCAGAGCAGAGCCAGTATCGTGAGTGCTGCCAGCCCAGGCTCTGAGCTGCCCCTGTCCCGAGGCAGAATGCCCTCCCCCCCATACACAGTGACCACCACCAGGCATCCTGCAGGTGTTACGACTGCGCCCATTCCTCCTACTGTGGCTGTCCCACTCCTAGGATCTCAGGTGCCCTGGGGCAGACCTCCCCCATCAGCAACACCCCTGGGCTCCCTCTAGGCTATGAGCAACAACTTGGGAGCAGGAGTGCCACCTAAGGGGACCCCGCTCAAGGCGTTGTGCTGGACCCAGGCTGGCCCTTCTCTCTGACTACCCCTCCCGTGCTTTCATTCTAGGACTTTGGGGCTGCAGGGAGCCCCCGCTCTCTAGGGCACCTGCTGCCTAAAGTACAGGAGGTGGCCCGATGCCTGGGGGAGCTGCTAACTGCAGCCTGCGCCGGCAGGGTGAGTGCCCTCAAGCCCCTGGCACCCATGCCCAAGCACAGCTCAGTGCCACCCTCTGTTCTTGTCCTGGAGGCTGTGCCTGATGACCATGCCCTCCCGCAGGCTCCACCCTCCTCCTCCTTGGGGCCCCCATGCCCTGCCCTGGCCCCTGCCTCGCCCTCAGCCCCCGGCTGGCAGCAGCAGACTGTTCTCATGCTCAAAGAGCAGAACCGCCTTCTCACCCAGGTAAGGTGCGGGGAGGGGTGTGGGCTGGGGGCTGCAGGCCTGGCAGGCCCTGACCGCCCGCCCGCCTGCCCAGGAGGTGACCGACAAGAGCGAGCGCATCACCCAGCTGGAGCAGGAGAAGTCGGCCCTCATCAAGCAGCTGTTTGAGGCCCGAGCTCTGAGCCAGCAGGACGCTGGGCCTCTGGACTCCACCTTCATCTAGCCGTATGTGTGCACAGAGAGGCCCCTCGGGCCTGGCCGGCCCTCAGCCCTGGGCAGGCACCTGCCTGAGCCCAGTCTCTCTGGCCGAAGACCACCCGGCTAGCCTCCCTCCTCCCAGGGAACTGCGCTACCCCGAGGCCTGGCCCAGGCTGGCCGGTGCCTCAGACACTGACTCTTCTGGCCTCGGGTGCTGACTAGGGGCCAGGCTCCGTCGCGCGGCCACGGCTTGAAGCTGCTACTGTCCTTGTCAGTGGACGGACTGGGACCGCTCCAGGTCTCAGGCGCCCCGCCCCACGTTTACAGCTGTCCAGTCTGCTCGCTCCTCCCCGAGCCCCCGCCCCTGGTCTCTAGTAAAAGGAACTGGTCGCACCGGCTGCACTTCCGACAACGACCAGCAGAGGACGCCCAGCGAGAGCTGGTCCCGCAAGCCCCGGTCCTGGGGG